ACTAGAGTTATTGCCTCATTGGATGCCAAAAATTATTCAGTGGAATGGGTATACCTTTGGGACGTTCTCCGTCGATATGGGTTTGGGCTGAAATTTCTACACTGGCTTCAACTGCTATATTGTGCCCCTAAAGCATATGTGCGCACCAGCAACTGGCTCTTTCTCTCTCCTTTCCTTTATATCATGGTACACATCAAGGCTGTCCTCTTTCCCTGCATCTCTTTGCTTTGGCCTTGGAGCCCCTGGCCATTTTGATTCGGGGATCTTTGGAGGTCTGGGGTCTGTGGGTGGGGATGCTGGAGGAGAAGATATCACTATATATAGACGATGCCGTGCTATATCTCGGTGATGATCGGAAGATGATCAACATTCTCATCATACCAAATTACTGATTTATTTCCTATTCTTCTATGCCAACAAAGAAATCCTTTTTCGGTGGACCTCTCCCACTCCTCCTACGGTGTCTTCCTGGGAGGCGATGATGAATGCTGCCCAGCCCATGTACAAACTTACATATAACAGTAGAGGCTGCCCCTGGAAGTATGATAAAGTGTGGTCCCCCTTAAACTCGAAATATCGTTCCCTTCTCTGCCCTTTTTTTTCTCCCTAATTCTCCCCTCTATTTCCTTCCCTTGTCCTACTCTCCTTGTTTTCCCCACTACCTTCATCTATCTTTTCATTTGAACAGCTACTCCCTTATGGGACTCTGGTGTCTTCCCACAGTTTAACTCAAGGTCTCTTTGATCGAGCGGTGACTTCATGATTTTTTTTCCATACATGCATGCTTTCTACACTGATGTACTGTACAGTTGGACTCTATCGGATTTGGTGTTTATATATGGCATTTTACATTGTATATGTATTTATTTGCACTGTACTGTTCTTGTTTTAAATAAAGCACTCCTGATTTGTAAAAAAAAAGTATTTGATCGGTTGTTTCAGCCGTCAGCGGGATTCCCCCCTGACAGCTGAATATACAAAAAAAGCCAGCAAAAACAAAAAAAAAGCCAGAAATTACCTCTTGGTAAGGAGAGGGGCAGCCATGTTGTCAGGGATCCGGGTATGATCAGAAATGTGTGGACTGACACAGGGAAGTAACAGGCTTCAGGAATGATATAATAAAAATATACTTATTATTAGCCACCCAAATATACAACGCACAGTAAACAAACCAACCTTCCACTAATCTTAGTATGTGCAGGAACACAGGCATAGTCAGGGCTGGAGAGGTGGAATGGTCAGGCCGGCCATATGGTTCTGTTAACGACCGTCTGGTGGTACCTCTAGCAGTCCTCGGGACAGGATTCCCCAGGGCGCGGAGTCTAAGTCCCAGTCTGCTTATTCACCAGGGCCCCTGATGGTGGGGATGGACTTGGAGCAGACAGGAACCAGGTCGTGGCCCCTGAGTACACCTGCTTGTGGTAGAGGGATCTGCCAGAGGTATATGCAGGTAGAAAGCCTGATGTGAAGAGGCAGAAGGTGTGAGCAGGGATGGCTGGATTTGTGCAGGATGGATGGATGGCAGAGTAGTTAGTGTGGTCAGACGGGCCGGGTCGGTAACAGCGGGTCAGCGTGGTACTAGGCAGCAGGCAGAAGAGTAGTCAGGTCACTCGCCGGGGTCGGTAACAGGAGTTCAGATCAGATTAGGGATGTCCAGGAGAGTAGTCAAACGAGCCAGGGATCAAGCAGGAGAAGTCAGCAGAGGTCAGGATCAGGCAGGGTCGGCAACAAATCAGATAGGCAGAGGAACAGGACACAGGATACAAGGTGCAGGGGTTCATGAGAAACATACACCAAGGCACTGTTCACAGGCCTGGTCCTGCTTAAATACACCTCCTGCAATCAACCTCAGGTGATGGCCTGATTGCAGGAGTGAGATTCTGGCTGCTGAGAGCACCCGCTGGCCAGCCTTGGTACTGCAGCCCACAAGGCAGGTGAGTCCCACCACCATTGGCGAGTCCATTCCTGACACATGTTCTTAACAACCTATGACACATTCAGCTGGGTTCCCCTGCTGACAACTGAAGTGTAAGGCTTCATGTACACTAGCAGCTCCTAAACTTGAGTTTAGGAGCTTTTTGAATTTTTTTGCCAAAGCTTCTAAACTCAACTCCATAAAAGTCTATGTGTCCATTTACACATAGGCTTTTAGCAGAGTTTAGGAGGTGCAGTGTTTAGGTGAGATTAAACCTCCCTGTCCTGAACGTGGAAGAACTGTGTTCATGATAGTAAAGTTTTGACTGCCAACCACGGGAAACCGCAAAATGCAGTAAAACCACGGTAACGCGATTTGCATTTTTCCCATGGCCAGTGGTCAAGGTAGGCTCATGCACATGAAGCCTAAATCAGTGGAACTGTCAGTAAAAAAGCAGCTTGACAATGTTTATCAACATCATTGCTCAGCTAAAACATAAAGATAAAAAAAGAAACATTGTTTAATTTTGTATCTTTCTGTTTATTCATCTACATATCAAAGGAATGAACTTCCATGATGAAGTTTTTTTTGTTTTCTTACATTTAATTGTCTAAGAATTGTGAAAAATATCATTGTTGCAAGACAATATTCACGAAAAGATAGCCTTGTTTGTCCTTAACAAAACATATTTGTGTTATGTTGTTACCTTAAATAATGACAAAGTTATCGCCAAATAACCAGTTTCATAGCAGAAAAAAAAAAATTGCTCTGGCCCATAAGGAGTGAACAGGTGTGAGAGTCTAAGTGGTTAAGGTGCGGGGCAGCCGTGTCCTTTGGAATTCATCATTCAGTTGTCAGCAGGGTTCCCACAAAACAGTTGCTGGCAGGTACAGTAATTGGTATAGCCAAGTGCAAAAAAAAGGTATCGGCACTCGTACTGGGTGTAAAAAAAAATTGTATCAGTACATCCCTATTTTAAGGGCAGAAAAACCACCAGCAACATTCAAGAGAGGGGCATTTGGGCAAAAAAAAAACTTGATACGCTCATAAACCTAAACACACCTTAAAGCTAGGCCAATAGACTGTGTTAATGTGCATAAATGCATAACCCATGTGCAATATGCGTGTTTTTTAAGCAGCTTTTATCCTGCCAGGAAAAAAGGCATTCAGAGGAGCTGAGCAAACTCTCAGTGTGCATGAGATGTGCATAGACATGCAAATTTATTTTATAATTTCTGGAAAAGTAGTTATATCAGGCTTTGACTGCAAGTAGTTAGTTTTGTCACTTGAAGCCTTATGTAGCACAAACACTTGAATGTGTCATTCTTAGAACAGGGGTTTAGACACAGCTAAATTTACACTATGGCACATGCGTGCCTCAAAATTGCCAGACTGCAATAATTTATTTTATACTTGCAGTACTGTAAAATGGAATTATGTTTTACAACAATAGACTACCCCACCCTCCTATCCGGAGACAGTTTAAGGAGAAATTACAATCAATTTTTAAAATGGATTGGATAGAAACATCACAGAAGCAAAATACAGAGAAATTCAGTGAAATGTGAGAAAGCGTTACTTATATCTCCAATCCAGAAACAAAGCTAGCTCCAGAAATGCTTTCAGAAATGCTTGGAATCTTCAGATAATAGCTGATGATCCTCCAATATACCAATACATTTTTCATTCTGCTTCTTCTGGAAGAGATCTGCTGCACAAAATAGCTGGGCTGCTGTATAGCTTTCTACAAATAATTAGAGATGAGAGAATTATTCAAAAATTCGGTTCGGCTGATTCGCCGAATTCGCCGAGTAAATTCGCTTCGAGCCGAATATATTCGCTGCGAATTTAACTTATAAAAAGGGTGTTTCTAGGCTTCAGAGAGCCTTTATATTAGTGCAGAACACTGTACCTTTAATTTAAATGCCCTTGGAGTCTGCTGGGGAAGAGAAATAATACTGTCAGTCAGTATGACATGCAGATGAGTGCCGTCGATCTTAGAATCACCGCACACTTCACTCATTTGGGCAGTCACGGGGCCAAAACCAGAGTGTGGAGCCACAGTGTGGCAGTGGAGGCAGCAGCAATGGGAGGCCATACAGCACCCTATGACAAAATGGAACCCACCAGCAGTGTGAGGAGACCTGAAAGTGGCACATGGCAGAGTGTGGCGATGGAGACAGCAGCAATGGGAGGCCGTACAGGGACCCATGACACACTCTGGACCTGGCAGCAGCATGAGGAGGCGGTACAGGGGCCCATGACAGATTACGGGCCTGGCAGGAGCATGAGGAGTCGGTATGGGGGCCCATGGCAGATTACGGGCCTGGCAGCAGCATGAGGAGGCGGTACAGGGGCCCATGGCAGAGTGGCGGAGCGTAAGCAGCTAAAATTGAAGGCCATACAGAGGCCTATGTTAAAAAGTCCCCCCAGCAGCAGCGTGGGGAGACGACTATCAAGAGTCCAATGGCAGAGTGGCGGAGCAGAAGCAGCTTCAATTGAAGGCCATACACAGGCCTAGGTTTAAAAGTCCCTCACAGTTAATTCCAATAATGAACTCTACTCCTCCGTGCAATCTACTTACGAGACCCTGGGCAGGTCTGGGTCCAATTTGTGATAGAGACTGGTTTTGTTCAGCCATGCTTGAGCGAGTAATAACAGGTCTGTGTTGCGCTTTGGTGTCTGGCTTAATGCGCACAACACTGAACGTCCCAGCGTTTGTCAACGGTTTGCCGTTAAGTGATGCAAACCCGCTGAACCACGTTCATGAGGAGCCGGTACAGGGGGCCATGAATCAGTATGGACCTGGCAGCAGCGTGAGCAGACGACAGAGGCACATGGCGCAAGGTGGCGGTGTAGGCAGCATTATTCTGAAGCCATACACAGGCCTAGGTTAAAAAGCGGAAGCCGTCAGCAGCGTGAGCAGACGACAGAGACACATGGCGCAGGGTGGCGGTGGAGGCAGCAGTATTCGGAAGCCAAACACAGGCCTCGGTTAAAAAGCGGAAGCCGTCAGCAGCGTGAGCAGACGACAGAGGCACATGGCGCAGGGTGGCGGTGGAGGCAGCAGCAATGGAAGGCCATACAGCACCCTATCACAAAATGGAACCCACCAACAGTGTAAGGAGACCTGAAAGTGGCACATGGCAGAGTCTGGCGATGAAGTCAGCAGCAATGGGAGGCCGTACAGGGACCCATGACACACTCTGGACCTGGCAGCAGCAAGAGGAGGTGGTACAGGGGCCCATGGCAGAGTGGCGAAGCGTAAGCAGCTTAAATTGAAGGCCATACAGAGGCCTATGTTAAAAAGTCCCCCCAGCAGCAGTGTGGGGAGACGACTATCAAGAGTCCAATGGCAGAGTGGCGGAGCAGAAGCAGCTTCAATTGAAGGCCATACACAGGCCTAGGTTAAAAAGTCCCCCCAGCAGCAGCGTGGGGAGACGACTATCAAGAGTCCAATGGCAGAGTGGCGGAGCGGAAGCAGCTTCAATTGAAGGCCATACACAGGCCTAGGTTAAAAAGTCCCCCAGCAGCAGTGTGGGGAGACGACTATAAAGAGTCCAATGGCTGAGTGGCGATCCGGGAAGTCAGCGTTGTGATTGCAGATGCAATGCAGAGATTCTACGAGGTGATGCCGTGGGTGCGAAGAAGATCATATACCGTCGTACTTCCATCCATAAGACGGAACAACCTGCGAACCGGGAGCTTTATTGCCCTGACCCGCTGAGCAGCTTCTGGGATACCCAAGAGGCCCATGGCAGAGTGGCGGAGCGTAAGCAGCTTCAATTAAAGGCCATACAGAGGCCTATGTTAAAAAGTCCCCCCAGCAGCAGCGTGGGGAGACGACTATCAAGAGTCCAATGGCAGAGTGGCGGAGCGGAAGCAGCTCAATTGAAGGCCATACACAGGCCTAGGTTAAAAAGTCCCCCCAGCAGCAGTGTGGGGAGACGACTATCAAGAGTCCAATGGCTGAGTGGCGATCCGGGAAGTCAGCGTTGTGATTGCAGATGCAATGCAGAAATTTTATGAGGTAATGCCGTGGGTGCGAAGAAGATCATATACCGTCGTACTTCCATCCATAAGACGGAACAACCTGCGAACCGGGAGCTTTATTGCCCTGACCCGCTGAGCAGCTTCTGGGATACCCAAGAGTTTGGCTTCTGTGGGGAATATGGTTGAAAACTGAAACTTAAAGGCATGTTGACGGAAGGGCACCAGTGTCAGTGCTCCGGAGGGAATATAGCTTCAAAGCTGACACTTAAAGGTATATCGACGGTCAGAGACCACAGGAAGTGGAGCTTGCGTCTTAAATCGACTGAATGTGGCAGACGTGAAACGTCTACGGGCCGTATATGAAACGGGTTGTTCCTCTTTCTGGAATAAGTGTTGGAAATGGCCACTCTTTTTGGTGTGGCGTTTTGTCTATTTAATTCCGATAACGGACTCTACTCCTCCGTGCAATCTAGTTACGAGACCCTGGGCAGGTCTGGGTCCAATTTGTGGTAGAGACTGGTTTTGTTCAGCCATGCTTGAGCGAGTAATAACAGGTCTGTGCTGCCCTTTGGTGTCTGGCTTAATGCGCACAACACTGAACGTCCCAGCATTTGTCAACGATTTGCCGTTAAGTGATGCAAACCCACTGAACCACGTTCATGAGGAGCCGGTACAGGGGGCCATGAATCAGTATGGACCTGGCAGCAGTGTGAGGAGACCCGAAAGTGGCACATGGCGCAGGGTGGCGGTGGATGCAGCAGTATTCGGAAGACATACACAGGACTAGTTTAAAAAGCGGAAGCCGTCAGCAGCGTGAGCAGACGACAGAGGCACATGGCGCAGGATGGCGGTGGAGGCAGCAGTATTCAGAAGCCATACACAGGCCTAGGTTACAAAGCGGAAGCCGTCAGCAGCGTGAGCAGACGACAGAGGCACATGGCGCAGGGTGGCGGTGGAGGCAGCAGTATTCGGAAGCCATACACAGGCCTAGGTTTAAAACTGGAACCCAGCAGCGTGAGCAGACGACAAAGACGCACATGGCAGAGGATGGATCTGGCAGCAGTATGAGAAGGCGGTACAGGGGCCCGTGGCACAGTGTGGTGATGGGGGCTACAGCAACTGGATGCCAGAAAGTGGCCGATAGGGCTATATACTGCATGGAATTATAAAGTTGTAAAGACAGCGGCCTATAAGGCTATACACACTATAACAATCATGACTTGATTGACCATTGGCCTATAAGGCTATACACAGCATGAATATCATGACTTATTCTGAGAGTGGTTTGGAAGGCTATATACAAAAAGTAATTCATGAGCTGTCCGGACAGCGGACAATAAGTACATATGATGAGATGGACAACACGTGTCAAATAAATATTTTAAAAAATTGCTATTCCATCGGTCTGGAACTGGTCGACTATAAATAATTAAAAAGTTTAAATTCATGTGACAGTCGTCTAGCGACGTATAAATAATTTAAAAACACCAATTCATGAGGGGCCCCGACCAGCAGACTATAAGTCATTTAAAAGGTTCAATTCATGTGACGGTCGTCCAGCGAAGTATAAATAATTTAAAAAACCCCAATTCATGAGGGGCCCGACCTGCAGAGTATAAGTCATTAAAAATGTGCAAAACATGAGTCGGCCGACCAGCAGCCTCTCAATAAAATATATATACACAAATGTACGGATCAGGTGGAGGTCTTCCATTTGTCCCTAATAACATGTTTGGGGCATGATTCATGGCGGATTTAGTCAGTTGTGTCAGGAACTGGTGGTTTGAAATCCAGACTAATCCACGCCTGATTCATTTTCACAAACGTGAGTCTCTCCACACTTTGGGTGGGACAGTCGTGTCCTCCGCGGAGTTACAATACCTCCTGCCGCACTAAACACGCGCTCCGATGCCACGCTACTGGCCGGGCATGACAGCCTTTCAAGGGCAAATTCAGCTAGTTGGGGCCAAGGTCAAGTTTCGTTGCCCAGTAGTCAAGGGGATTGTCTACCTCGGTTGGCAGGGTGCTGTCCAAGTAGGCCCAAGCCTGTTGTTTGAGGTCCTGCTCCAGGTCCACCTGATGCTGCTGCTGCTGCTGTGGCTGGTTAGTAGTTTCCTCACTGCGCTGGTGAAGAAAGCTACTCATCATCGACTGCAGACTGAGGCAGCCGCTGCTGGTGGAGCTGCCACTGCTCCTACCACCCCACCCCTCCCCTGCTGCCATGGCAGCGGAACGCGAGCGCACAGGGCCCACAGTGTCTGAGGATGGACGTTGGCGCAGAAAGGCAGAGACCAACTGACTACATAGGTGGTTTTTATAGTACTTTATTTTGGCCTCCCTCTCAGCAGGTGTGAAAAAGGCCACCATTTTTGAACGGTAGCGAGGGTCCAACAAGGTGGACAGCCAAAAGTCATCCCTCTGTCTGATGGTTATTATTCGGCTGTCGCTACGCAAGCAACCGAGCATGCTATGGGCCATTTGTGCCAAGGAATGCGAGGGACTCCCTGCCTCCATCTCCACAGCATACTGCCACGGTGCGTCTGGGTCCTCTGTCTCTCCTCCTCCTCCTCTACCAGATGCTCCTGCTCCTCCACTCCTGTCCGCTGAGTGGAAAAAACCACCCATTTCATCAATAATTCCTGAGCACCAATGTCCTCCTCTACCTCCTCCTCTTCTTCCTGTCCTGCCCCCACAGGGGTCATGTGGTGTTGAGATCTGTGCGCCACGTCTACCGCACCCTGACCAGCCATTGTTAACATCATTTGTTCCAGGACGTGCAACAGAGGAATGACGTCGTTCATCCCATAGTCCTGCCGACTCACGAATAGCGTGGCCTCCTCAAAGGGCCTGAGCAAGCGGCAGGTGTCACGCATGAGCTGCCAATGGCTGACATCTAAGTTACACAGGGGAGTACCTTTATCCGCTTGTAACATCAGGAAATCGGTGATGGCCTTTCGCTGTTCGTAAAGGCGGTCTAAACATATGTAGGGTTGAATTCCACCTTGTTGCAACGTCGCAGATCAGGCGATGCTGTGGAATTCCGTTCTGCCGCTGCAGCTCAAGGAGGGTGTGTGCTTTGCGGTGTAGGAATGGCTGAAATGCATGCAAAGTTTACGTGACATTTTAAGGATGTCTTGCAGTGGGATGGTGGATTTTAGGAACCGCTTGACAACCAGATTGAACACGTGTGAGCCATGCATGGTGCATGACACAACCTTCCTTGACGCAGAGCAGACACCATGTTCTTTCCGTTGTCGGTCAACATGGTTCCGATTTTCAGTTTGCGCGGAGACAGCCATCTGTCGATTTCTCTGTTCATTACACTCAGAAGTTCCTCCCCTGTGTGACTACGTTCGCCAAGGCATACCAGGTGCAGCACAGCGTGACACCGTTGCGCCCTGCACATGTGATATGCCGGTCGGGGTAATGGGACTTGGCACGGGGGTGGGCGGCTGAGGACACGGCGGAAGAAGAGGTGGTAGTAGAGGCGGACATCTTTGCTGGACCAAGGACGTGCAAACGTGGAGGCAAAAGCGGCGTGACCTGTCCAAGTTGCTGGTGCGGCTGTGCCGGCACCACGTTCACCCCCAGTGGGCCGTAAATGACATGTACTGTCCCTGACCGTAGTTACAGCTCCACACGTCGGCGCGCTGCCGTGCACTTTGGCAGAGACCGACATGCTCAAAGACTGGCCCACCATCTCTTCTACATGTGAATGCAGGGCTGGCACTGCCTTTTTGGCGAAGAAATGCCGGCTTGGCACTCTCCACCGTGGCTCGGCACAAGCCATCATTTCTCGGAAAGGTGCTGAGTCCACCACTTGGAAAGGGAGGGACTGCAGCACCAGCAACTTGGACAGGAGGACGTTCAGCTTCTGCACCGTCGGGTGCGTGCTCGCAAACTGTTGTCTCTTGGAAACGGATTCCAAGAAAGACTGCTGACGGAATCCGTGAAGAGGAGTAGCAGCAGGAGAAGGAGCATCTGAACGAGCGGAAGATGCCAACGAGCGACAACTCCCCTCAGCAGAGGTGTTGGAGCCTTGACTGGCTGATAGAGGGCGATTGACGTCGGGTGACGGAGCAAGTAACGGAGCGGGTGATGGAGCGGGGGCTGGGGCAGGCAGAACCGCCGTATCTTTATCACGGTTTTCCCAGGCCACCGAATGGCGACGCTGCATATGCTGACGCAACGCTGTAGTCCCAACATTGGCCCCCTGGCCACGCTTGACTTTCTGGCCACATAGTCGACATACGGCTACGTTTACTTCCTCGGGCAGCTTGACGAAAAATTGCCACACCGCCGAGTAGGAAACTTTGCCCCCGCTACTCCTCACTGGCTGACTGCTACTTCCTCCGTGCACACCGGCACCACTACTGGCCGTGGTGGTAGGCTGCAGTGGAGCTGGTGCTCTACTCCGTGGCCGTTTGGCTCCACTGACACTGCTGCGACCCTGCTGCCTCCTGGGCAACCCACCGACTGTTTTGCTCGCTGGCAAGCTGGCACCCTCTTCTCCTGATGATGCGGAAGCAATAGCCTGATGACGACGAGGCTGCCAAGTGCGATCAGCCTCATCATCATCAATTAGGGTCTCCGCGTCACTACTAGCCCCCTCGGCTGCGTGTGGGTCAGGAGACAGACCTGTCTCTAGACCGGCTACCGAGCCACTCTCCTCGCCAGTACTTCTTCGCCTGGCTGCTGAAGAGGCGATGTCTCCCCCCATTCCTGACCGCCCTCTGTTAGCTCTTCCTCACTGTACAGTGGGGCTGAGCCCACAGCATGCGATACTTCGCTTGGTGAGGGAACACCAAAGGACAGGGGCAGGTCGAGGACACGTGATTTCAGTGGGCTTGCTCCCGGGCCATGCCAACTAACGGTTGTGTCTGACGTACCCACCGACCGTTGGCTGTAGGTGTCAGAGGTGACCTGGGAAGAGGAAGACGACCGAGTCAACCAATCGATGACGGCAGGGTTGTCGGTGGAGACATGACCGCTGGATGACACCGGGAGCACTGGCCTCTGGCTGCGACTAGTGCTGCCTCGACCCCTTCCTCTGCTGCCACGTCTCTGCTCGCTCCTGAAACATTGCCTCCTCTGCCACTCCTCTGCGTGTTGTCTGACATACTCTTTAATTCAATAAGCACCCCAAAAATAAAACCGGATTTAACTCTTTGAACGTACAATAGTGGTTGTGAAGCAGAAAGTCAGTTTACTTTAGCACAATCGGTCAATTGCAGCTTGCCGTTGGCTGGAAACTGTACGTTTATGTCACTGGAATGCACTAATCACCAAAAAAATATTACCGCCAGCCGGCGTGTAAATGGATCTAACTCTTTGAACGTACAATAGTGGTTGTGAAGCAGAAAGTCAGTTTATTTAGCACAATCGGTCAATTGCAGCTTGCCGTTGGCTGGAAACTGTACGTTTATGTCACTGGAATGCACTAATCACCCAAAAAATATTACCGCCAGCCGGCGTGTAAATGGATTTAACTCTTTGAACGTACAATAGTGGTTGTGAAGCAGAAAGTCAGTTTATTTAGCACAATGGTCAATTGCAGCTTGCCGTTGGCTGGAAACTGTACGTTTATGTCACTGGAATGCACTAATCACCCAAAGAATATTACCGCCAGCCGGCGTGTAAATGGATCTAACTCTTTTGAACGTACAATAGTGGTTGTGAAGCAGAAAGTCAGTTTATTTAGCACAATCGGTCAATTGCAGCTTGCCGTTGGCTGGAAACTGTACGTTTATGTCACTGGAATGCACTAATCACCCAAAAAATATTACCGCCAGCCGGCGTGTAAATGGATCTAACTCTTTGAACGTACAATAGTGGTTGTGAAGCAGAAAGTCAGTTTATTTAGCACAATCGGCAAACTGCAGCACCAACTGTGCACGACAGCCACCAAAAAAAAAAAGGGTGTATGTCACTTTAAATT